ACATGAATTTGGGGGCCACTAAGGGCTGCAGAAGGGTGAGGGGGGGTTAAATATGATCAAACTATATTATATAAAATTTTCAAAGATTCAATTTAAAAAAATTAAAAAGTAAGTGCCAGATGTGGTGGTGCATGCTAGCTCTTGGAAAAAGAAGTCAGGTGGATCTCTGTGAGTTCAAGGCCAACCTGTTCTACATAGGAAGTTCCAGGGCAGCCAGGGTCACATAGAGAGACCCTGCCTCAAAAAACAAAGAAAAAAAAAAAGTAAATAAAAACAAAGAAAAAAACTGTCAGGAGGGTAGAACTTTTAATCACAATAGAAATAAATCGGAATGTAATATGGGTCTGGTGATTCAGTGAACACCTAGATCTTGAAAATATGTAATTTTTTTAGAAAAAAATCTAAAGGCTGAAAAAAAAAATTCTCCTTGATCCATGTGTAGGGCTGAAGGTTTGTAATCCCCACACTTGGGAGGCCTAGGCAGGAAGATGACTAGTTCAAGATAGGCCTTGGTTGCATTCCAGGTAAGCCTGGGGCTACATGGTAAGACACACACACACACACACACACACACACACACACACACACACCCTACAAAATCTCCACAAAAATATTTTAATAACAACAGTAACCAAAAGACTCTTCAATGTTCAAAAGTAAAGATAAAAGGATTCCTGCAGTCAGTGTCTTTAATGTCAACTGAAGAGAAATTCCAATTACGCTCTTCTGTCTTACAGATCAGTAAGGCTGGCTCTTTTTCCAAGCTTCGGAGGGTAAGAAGGAGCAAAGAATTCCAGATTAAAAATGAGTAAAAATGTCTTAACACCTAATGTGTGACAAGCCTCTCCTACTTGCCAGTAAGATGGTGGACACAGGTGAAAAAAATGAAATACGAGGCCAAGAGAAGCAGGTGACCGAAGAGACTAACTGGGAGGACGGAGAAGGAGGACAGATTCAAGACAGTGACTACGAAAGGTTTCTCTGAGGAAGAGCACATGAACCGGAGTCAAATCTTAAGAAATTCTAAATGAACTTAAAAATTATAAGGCTAAATATTATATGGACTTAAACAAAATATGATAACGGTATATATTTTAACCCGTTAATAAAAAAGATGTCAGTAATGAGGGAAGCAAGAGAAGGGCACACGAGCCCTGTGTAGTAACTTTGCAACTTTCTATGAGCCTATGGTATTTCAAAATTGGAAGTTAAAATAACACTTGTATAACTACTACTCTAAGAAAGAATGAGATATCTGAGATATCTTTCATTACACCGAAAAGATGGTTTTATGGGAATAAAATCATACAGGAAGTTAAGAAAACAAATCTCCAGTATAGCAAAATCTCTTTCAAAGAAGAGGCAGATTAGGTATTTTAAGAGAAAACAATGAAGCAAGTACACATAAAGTCTTGGGTTTTTTTCTGACTTCAGATGCCAATCAAGAAAGAAAACACAACAGCAGGGGTTAACATGTGACAAGAGAAATTTCCCTTTCTGTCATCTGTTTAAAGATACCGAATAGGCACAAACCACATGAATCTTACATAACACATTTTACTTCACAAGAGTCACTTAAATCAGGGAAGATGAAAGAGGATTCGTTCCCATTTTGGGTGGAGAAGGAGAGACCAGTGATAGACACATTAACTACCACCATTTTTACTGAAAATATAATTAAAACTATCTCAGTTTTAAATTCATACATCAATTCACATAATGTTTGCTATTGAATAAGGAATTTTAATTGCTCCAAAGATTGCATAATGGTTAAGATGGAAGTTTCAGAACATGCACTCATCTCTGTTCTTTGTGAAAGGCCACTGCTATGGTCTGAGCCTTCCCCCTCACCATATGACCTATGAAGTCCGGGCACTAGAAGGTAACTGCGGTGAGATGAGCTGCTGAGGGTGGGGCCTCAGAACCGGCTTGGCCAGAAAGTACAAGAGTCTTGAGATTTTGCTTTCTTTCTCTCTCCCATGAGCGTTTATGATGAGAAGGTGGCTGTCTGTAAACAAGAAAAACCACCAGACACAGAAACAAGTAGAATCTTATGTAGTGAAGGATCCCAAACTTTCCTTCTTCCCCTGGTGCTGGCTTCCAAAATGCCAAGTCAGACATTATGTCTTCCAAGCAGAGTGAAAAATCCTTGGGGCACTCTAAGAGTCACCAACAAAATAGCTAAGCAGGACAACTTTACTCTGACCTCATGGCGCCAGACTCTGCCCACAATTAAAAATGCTGTTCACCAGTCCTTTAATTCCACTCTTATAAGTGCAGATGAGAAGCTGGACATGGTAGAAGACCTGGAATCCCAGCACTTAGGAGGCTGAGGCAGGAGGACCAAGAGTTCTAGCCCAGCCTAGATTACAAAACAACAATAATAAAAAAAGCAGGAAGTCAAGGGTGAGACATTGAGTACATTCCATTCTCCTGTATAAAACACAGAGACAAAATCAACTTCATAAAAAGGCAATTCTTTACTGCACTCAAAAGAAGTGAATTATTTAGGGAAATGAAAAACTGAAAAGGAAGAAAATCAGAAAAATGAAAAACTACATCTTCGAGAGAAGAAACCAATTAAAAAAAACAAACAACAAAAAAAATTTTCAGAGCTTTACCAAAATGAAGAAGTCAATTTGAGGAAAATGACAGAGAATTCGGGGAGACAGGATCCATTCCAAAGAATCAGAAAGATGTTTCAGCAAAACAGGAACAGAGTGGTAAGAACGGTAGTGTAGAAGATGGTCCAGCAACTACTGCAGATCACATGGAGACCCATGAGCAGCTTGTGGTATAACAGGGAGAGAAGGCGTGTATGTGTGTGTTATGTGTTGCGTGTGTACCACTCATGAGGCTAAGAAACAAAATAGGGTTCAGAAGAAAAGAATTTTCTTTGGTTACAGGAATCAAACATCCCATTAGAAAGCAGGGCTTAATCCAGGCCTCAGATACATACTGAGGTGAGGAACACTGTTCTTCCTAAGAGGAAGATTGTAAGTAAAGATCAAGGCCAGCCTGGTCTACATAGCGAGTTCCAGGCCAGCTAGAGCTACAGAGAGACCCTGTCTCAAAGAAACAAACAAACAAAAATAAGAAAAACAACAACCAAAAAAAAGTAAAGGACTCATCTACAAGCACAGCTGTCACTGGGGGCTTGCTTTGGTAGAAATACAGAAACGAAAACAAGAAATTGAGCCAAGAAAGAATACACATGACCAGATTACAGATTTACTTTGCATGTTGTGCTATGGATTCAAGATTTTCTTAGAGGAGAATGATGAAAGGATGGCAGTGGGAGGGTCGAGGAGGGGGTGGGTAGGAGTAGCAGTCTGCTTCAAGCAGAACTATTGCTCTTGACAATAATGTAAAGACGTGACTGTAAGAGTGAGAAGGGGCTGGAAGCTGAAATCCAGGTGTGTGTAACAGGGTCAGCTTCCTATTTAATTTCAATAGTTCTTTTAAAGGTCTAGTCTGGCAAATCCATTTTGAGCTTGCTTCTGTAAGTACCTGTGGATTTATTTGATGCTCTCCTTCGAATTTCTGTCACCATTAGTCGTGAGACTTGCGTTGTGAACTGCAGAAGATCAGAAAACTTTTCTGTCATTGTATTTGGTGGAGCATTTCCAAAAACCTGCAGAGGAGAGAAAAACATATTTAATGAAGTATTGTCCTTTTGCTGTTCAAAGTGTGGCATAACTTGAACATCAAGTCAGGTCAGTATAGTTACAACATTTACTTTGAACCTGATTACATTTAAAGCTCATGTCTCTCAACAGATCACATTTGGCCACATGTTCTTATAAATACTAATCTACTGAATAGATGACTAAGTCAATAAAACTTAAAGCCAGAGACTCAATCTCACTAACAAACTTTAGAAAACACAACCATTTTCTAAGGAAATGTAAACTACGAATCTATAGAAAAAGGGCAAAGGAAGGGGTAAGGTTTTCTGATGAAATCCAGACGTGCCAGATGAGGGAAAGCAGAGGCCGACTAGTGCCAAGTCCACCACTGAACACAAAATTCATTAACCTCATTTTAATATTTCAGAATTTCTAAATTCTAGCCACAATCATCTCTAAAATAAGACTATTATGGAAGGGGTAGACATAAAAGAAATGAACAGAAGGTTCATAAACTTGCTTTTACAAAAATTTAGGACAAGGGCTGGGCATAGTGGCTCATGCCTTTAATCCCAGCACTTGGGAGGCAGAGGCAGGTGGATATCTGTGAGTTTGAGGCCAGCCTGGTCTACATAGAGTTCCAGGCCAGCTGGGGCTACAAGGAGGCTCTGTCTCAAAAAGATTAAAAAAAAAAAAAAATTAGGACAAACGATTTGGAAAAAATAATTCTTTTTTAATTTTTATTGAATTTTTGTGATTTTCATACAATATAGTTTGATGCCATTTAGATGCTCTCCCCTTTCCACACCTCCCCTTACTGCCCACCAGCCAACTTAATGTATTCATATATATATATATACATATATATATATATGTATTTCTCAAAGATAAATAGGGGATCAGCTAAGAGAATAAGATGGGCCATCATCATGGGAAAGCAATAGTATTTTAGTGGCTATATAAATAGATACAGTTTTTAAAAATGTTCTTTACAGCTGAATGGAAATTCTTTCTTTTAAACTGTCATGATACCTCTTCATTATAACAGTATTTTGTGCTACTATTCAAATGTCACTATAAAGAGAGCAAACATAATTTATTCATTCTTATATTGCTTCCCAAGCTAACATCATGGCTGTCTTTTGTACGAATGATCCTCAAATAAGGGTGTTTGTTTCTACGCAGACTGCTGCTATAGCCACATACTACTAACTGGAGACTACAGATGCACTGAAGCTAAAAGTAAGGAAGAGCTGTGTATGGTGGAACATGACTATAACGTACCATCAGGAAGCTGGAGCAAGAGGGCCGAGAGTCCAAGACCAGGCTAGGTTCCACAGTAAGACACTGTCCCCCAAACAAAGGCAAAATAAAAAGAAACAGGCAAATAAAACCTAAGGCAACACAGATGGACTGGGAACTCCAAAACCAAAAGACCTCTACATTTTTCGTATTTTGGTTATAAATTTTGGCTTAGTTATTCGCAAGGGAAAACTAGTCAATCATACCCCTCCTTGTGAATTATGTAAGTTCCCTAAGTTATCTATCCCACATATATATTATATAGATAAACATTTCATTCCATACAGCCTAATAAATCCCCTTACAATATCCTTTTTTTTTTTTTTTTTTCTGGTCTTTTTGAGACAGGGTTTCTCTGTAGCCCCAGCTAACCTGGAATTTACCATGTAAACCAGGCTGGCCTTGAACTCACAAAGATCTGCCTGCCTTTGCCTCCAGAGTGCTGGGACTAAAGGCATGTGCCACCACAACCAGCCCTACAATACCCTTTTAATAGACGATCTTTCCTACATCCTTATAATACTGTTTCCTATAAACTTTTAATTAGGTTGAAAATAGTAAACAAAACCACCTCTACAAGAGTTACTTTGGTTGGTCAAGGAATCTAGTTTAATTACCTTGATAGAGGAGTGATATTTAATACTCTCAAAGAACAAATTGCATTCCAAGAATTTCTCAATGTTTTTCCTGCTATGATATTTTTATTAGTATACTTACAGTTAAATCTGTCACTTGCCAAATAAGACCCATGACCTTCTTTTTTTGGAAATGGGGACTGAAACCAGATCTTGGCCATGCCAGGCGAATACACTCCACCAGTGGCAGAGGGACCAAGAGGCTGGTCATCCTGGAACAAGGGAAGCTGGAGGAGTACAGCAAGTAAAGTAGGAGTCCCATAATGGTGAGTATAAGGGAGAACGGCAAAGAGTGCATTTTTGTAGTTCAATAGCTAAATCTATAAATACTAAATACTACTTGTTTTCAGATCTTCAACTAAAGCTCCATCTTGCAAACACCTGCTAGGATAGGGCATGGGGCTGGGGTCTGAAGACTTGGGATCTATTTCCATCTCAGAGATTACTGCTTAGATGCTCTTGGGAGAAAGCTGGGAAAGAGAACTCAGCAAGAGAATCCAAAAAAGAATGATTGCATGATAAATTTGTGACATTTGTGAACCATACTGGGAAAACAAAACAATAAAAAACAGTCCTAAGGTTCAAAAACACCTTCTAATAAATTCAATAAAGGGAAAAATAATTACCATATAAAAAGTATTTACAATGTTTCTAGCACTGTTTAAATACTTAGTATATTTAAATCTCATAGACTGCTATATAAAAGGTGCTATTAGCATTCCCGTTTATAGATAAGGAAATTAAGGGTTAGTAAAGTTGGCTTAAGCCACTAGGTAGAGAGAGGAGAGAATTTAAAATTGGACCAGTCTGATTCCAAGTCTGGCTAAATACTATTTTGCCAATTAAACTTTGCATGAACCCTATTCCTGTAACTTGTTTACCTTTACAGGGTAATCATATAACTTGTTATTAGAAAGGTAATTTTTAAGGTTTGTTTTTTAAAACAGTGCTAGGGCTCAAACCCCAGGCCTTACACAGGCCCCTTAAAAGAATCATTTTTAATATCTACCTAATTAAATTTTTTAAGGCTTCCTAGCACCTGAACAAAATATATTTGGCATACCTTGGGAAGAAGAAATTAATGGTGTTATTTAACATAGGCATAAGGTAGAAGTCCAGTTTATATTTTTACTGAATAACATCATTAAATAAAAATTAGATAGGACTAATAAGGGAAGTTGGACTGTTTAAAAAATTTTCTAAACTGGGGCTCTCTGGTTCTTAAAATTTATGCAACATCTAAATTTAAGTTCAGACTACTAGCCATCATTAGGCAATTCGCTATGAATAGGATAAGCCACCCAAGAGGAAGAACCAGGATGACACCACTCAAGAGGCAGAACCAGGGTGACAAGTCTGGTGAACCTGGGCCACACAGCAAGATCCTATCTTCAAACAAAAACTAAAACACAAACACAAGGAAGATGTAACTTCATTATTTTACAGAGTAAGCCAGTTAAGATTTCTTATCTTAGCCGGGTGTGGTGGCGCATGCCTTTAATCCCAGCACTGGGAGGCAGAGGCCGGCGGATCTCTGTGAGTTCAAGACCAGCCTGGTCTACATAGTGAGTTCCAGGCCAGCTGGGGCTACAGGGAGACCCTGTCAAAAAAAAAAAAAAAAAAAAAAAAAAAAAAAAAAAAAGAGCTCATCTGTTATTTCTTTTATTTGCTTCCAAACATGAGTGTCCTCCCTCCCTTGAAGGCCAACAATTTTAAAAAGTGAAGGTCATTTGTAAGGGATTTAAAGAGGATACTGTATTCAACTTAGATGCTTCTCAAATATAAATTGGAGGGGCTGGAGAGATGGCTCAGCAGTTAAGAGCACTGACTGCTCTTGCAGAGGACCCAGGTTTGATTCCCAGCACCCACATAGCAGCTACAAACCGTCCTTAACTCCAGTTCCCGGAGACACCGAAGCCCTCTTCTGAACTCCGTGGCATTGCATGACATGGGTGCACTCATGCAGGCAATATACTCATACACATTGAAAAAAAAAAGTATAATATATATATATATAAATTGGAAATAAATTCAAAAGCAAGTGGAATTTCTCAAGATCAGTTTGTAAATAATACATTTCAAAAATGATAAGAGATCACGATCATATATAACGGTAATTAATAATGGCATTTTATGAAATTTTAGACAACTAAAAGGCTATTCATTATGAATCATTTAGCCCAAGTGTTTTCTCTGTAAGATTTTATTCTTGGACGTAAGATTTAATTATTTTTGAAATGCTGAATTTCTGTATTATTCCTCTATTCTCAGGTTCTCCATAATTTTTGATCAGAGAAAACCTTGAGAGGAAGGAACAGCAGCCACCCTGCAGGACTGTGATGAAGCAGGCAGGAGGCATTTCAAGAACTTAGCATGAAGCCTGGCCCAGAAAAAGCACTCAACACATGTCAATTCCCGACTCATGTCTCCAAAAGGCAAAAACCACACACTGAAATAACACTTCCAAGCACACTTTAAAAGCTATTCTGTACCAAGAAGCCCGCGTCTGTGTGACAAATTAAGCAAAGTTGCAATAATCAATTCATTTCTAGCAAATGTGGTAAGAACTGGTTGGCTATAAAGTTGTCCTGAGCCAGACATTCACAATGGCATTTCCTGTTACTGGAGAATGTTCATGTACACATAGCCAAACATTAAGTAGCTATGTATTTGTAGACTTCATGGAAATACTACCAGGGGGTAATTTTCACTTGTTAGTGTCAACCCAATGAATGTATTTTACATATTTTTAATTGGCCACAATGACATAGACATAATTTCCTATTTTTTCCTTAGTTAGAAATTTCCTAGGAGACTTAACTATAACTCGGTGGTAGAGCATTTGCCTTAGCATGTAAGATGCCCTGGTGGAACACACACAGAAAAAAAACAACCAACCAACCAACCAAATAAGCAAAAACTGTTCACTGAACCTGTGGTGGGCATGTAGCCCAGTGACAGAGCTGCACCAGGCTCCATTCCCAGCAACACACACACACACACACACACACACATTTAACAATGTACATGTTCTCGATATATTGTTTTCCTTCTTCTGTTCTATCCAGCACAACCCACAGATGCTGTGTGATCTAATCCCTCCCACTCTCCTTCCACTCCAGTGACTCTGACTGACCACTCGAGTAAAATGCAGTCCTAAAACAAAAGCACCTCCTGTCTCTTTCTCCAAAGGCCTGTGTGATAAGACCCAGTACTGAACCATCATCTCCAATATTCCCCATGCTCTCAAAACAAACCAACAGATATTGTTTCTCCACACACACTATTAATCTAACAGACCAAAATTTACTTAGGTTCCCTAGTAAACCTAGATCTATGCTCTCGATCCATAACAGGGCATTCTCTGCCAATGACAACAGGACTCTAAGGTCATCAACAAGATCGTATTCAGTGCCATTATCATCACTACAAATCTACACTGGAACCCAGGAAAACCTGTTTTCCTGCAGATGAGATCTGCGACTTCCTGTCCAGAGCTCACTCATCCACCTGTAATTGACACTATGCTCTGTCCTCTTTTGATCTAATTTCACTCTTTCCTTGAAAATTTCCAAATTTCTCCCATCATTGTCCTCTTCTTTTCTTTTCATGATCAGGCTTGAATATATCTAATCTTCAAAAACAAAGCAAAACATTGTAAACATACAAACTAAATTTCCTTATTTCCAGGTTCACTTCTGCTGTGGCTGACAATGCCTTGTCCCCCAAAAGTTCAGTGCTAGAAGTTTGGTCCCCAGTGTGATGGCTGAGGTGGTAGAGAATAAGAAAGTAGTTAGGTCATGGTGACTGCCATTCTTGCTGTCTCTCAAGAGATCATGTCTCTGGAGAGTGGGTGTTTTTATTGGAGGGGGGGCAGGTCTTTTTGAGACAGGGTCTCCCTGTAGCCATAGCTGGCCTGGAACTCACTTTATAGACCAGGCTGGCCTCAAACTCACAGAGATGCCTGCCTCTGCCTTCAGAAGGCTGGGATTAAAGGTGTGCGCCTCCACGCCCTGCTGGAAGTGGGTTTTTACATATTGAGGCTATTTCACATCCTTGGCACCTTTGTATGGAGCTTGTCCCCTTTCTGTTGTCTGGCCTTCCCAAACTCTTTTCTACATAAAGTACCCAGCCTCAAGTATTTTGGTATAGTAGCACTAAAAATACTAAGACAATGCTTTTCAATCTATTTTGTTCTAATTTCTTTCCAATTTATCAAAGCCTAGTACACCCCTCTCCCTCTGTCTCTTTTCATCTCCCGTTCATTCCTCAACCCACTGACCTCTACCCCTACTGTACTAAAGACTTTCAAACCAACAAATCTCATAAACCCCTATCAGTCCTCATCTTACTGGCTGATTTTATTGCATGTGACAGAATCATCCATTCTTCTTGGAAAACTTTTCTTTCTCCATTTCTCTTGATCACCCTTCCCTGATGCTTTCTACTCTGTCCAAGCAGCTACTTTTCTGTATCCTTTATGGGTCTCCTTTTTTCAGTATTCATATTCTCCACAGTTTGTCCTTAACCTACTGCTCTTTGCATTTGGTACTTGAGCCATGAGTAAAACCAAGTGAGCTTCACGAGGCTGGGCTCAGCATCTCTGCCAGTAGGGCACGGAGAAGAGGCAGAGGCAGGAAGGTCACCAGTTTGAGACCTCAGAGCACAGCATGTAGCACACTCTGCACTTGTCTAACAAGTTCACTGAGTGAATCTGTGAGAGCACAAAGGGGACTAAGTGAAGAAATAAGCAAACAGACACAGAATAGATAGGGTCTGCCTCTCCCCGTTGCTGCATTAGCTGCTGGCCTGGTCTGAGAAATACATAAATTGAACACTTATTTTAGCATTAAAAAGTCTATAATCTCTTGAGGTCCACCCACCCAGGGATTAGGCAGGGACCATTTTGGAAGAAGGAGCAGAAAGACTGTAAGAGCCAGGAAGGAGGTGCAGGACCATACGGAAATGGTCTTACAGGTGCCCGGGACCCTTCTACAAACCTACAGCAATGGTGTCAGCATGCACAAGACCCATGCAGACTTAGGCAGGCAAAAACCCAGCACAGAACTGTGGAAATGAACTGAGCAAGCCCCACTCTCAGTGGAAGAATTATTGGCAGCAGACTCTAGATGGGCTGACTAAATCCTGGTGGATGAACTTGCACTGAGGGACATTTGGGGACACTAACTTTACATGATAGGCCCTAACACAAATGACGGAATTATGAATTCCAGTGGGGGGGTATGAGAGGGTGCCAAAGGAGAAGGAGGTATAAAGATGATTTTCCAAATGAAATACACAAAAATTCAATAAAATTTTTTTAGGAAGTCTATAATCCCTGCTTTCTCTTCAAATGCTTTTATGTTTAATACAGAAAAATAATAGATACACATTTCTGAAGACAAAAATGATTTAAATATGCTATTTTAGGAGATCCTCCTAAATATTTATTGTCAACTGACAGGATTCAGAATCACCTAAGAGACACCCAGCACACCTGTGAGGAAAGGTCTGATTAGGTTAGCCTCTGGGTATGCCTGCACGGGATTATCTAGATTAGGTTAAATGAGCTGGGAAGACCCTCCTTAATTAAGAATAGCACCATTCCAATGTGCTGAAGTCCTGGTATGAATAAAAAAGAGGAACTGGCCAGTGTGGTGGCATGTGTCTTTAGTTCCAGCAATTGGGAAGCAGAGGCAAGCGGATCTCTGTGAGTTCAAGACCAGCCTGGTCTATATAGTGAGTTCCAGGATAACTGGGCTACAGGGAGACCCTGTCTCAAAAAGACCAAAAACAAAAGAAAAAAGGAAGAATTAAGCTGAGCAGTGAGTACTCGTCTCCCTGTCTCCTGCCTGCCAGTGCAATGTAACCACTGGCTGCCTCAAGCTCCTGCAGTCATAATTCCCCTACTATGTGGGTTAAAGAGACAGTTCAGTGGTTAAGAACACTGGCTGCTCTTGCAGAGGACTAGGGTTCGGTTCCCTGCACACACATGGTGGCTAACAAGTGTCCACAACTCCAGCTCCAGAGAAATCTGACACCCCTTTCTGGCCTCTGCAAGTATTGCATGCATGGTGCACTTCCATACATGTAGACAAAACACTCACACACATAAAGTAAAAATAAGTAATAAAGGAAGGGAGGGAGGGAGGGGGGGAGGAAGAAAGAAAGACCTATAGACATTAAGGCTGGAGGGATCTCAACTGTGTAACAGGTAACCTAGCCAGATCATCTCACCATTTGAAGGTGCAGCTTCACACACACCAAACACACACACACACACTCTTTCCAGAGTATTTTTCAATATCACATTCTCAAATATCAACACAGACAATATGGAGAAAAGAAGAGATTAGGAAATATCACAAAGACAGACAAACAGAAAAGAATATAGAGACCAAAGAAGACTGGTGTATCACTGCCTGGCTGAAGTTAGCGGGGGGTGGGGGGGCGGGGGGCGGCAGGGCACATCAGGGCTGAAGACAGGTCCAGGGACAAGAGCTACAGAGGGGAAACAGAAGGAGAAAATGTTACAGGAAAAGTGCTAGAGAGGAAAAGAGGAAGAGAGATGAAGCATAGAGAGAGTCAGGAAGAAAGAGAGACAGAAGGACGAACAGAAAAGAGGAAAAGGGCAAGAAACGGGTAAGAAAGACCAGAGAGAGAAGGGAGCAAGAAAGGAGACACTTACACCACATACACGTGTGTCTGTGTGTATGTGTGCACATGTATGTGGTATATGTGTCTCTACACACACAGACTGAGAGAAAAAAGACATGATAAGAAACTGAAAGAATTGTGACATCTAAGAAAACAAGTTCTGAAATACTGTTAGAATAATGGGGCTACACTCCAAGATTCACCTTTGAAAGACGCTGACACCATAGTCAATGGCAAAGAGACACTGTGCACTGGTAGAGTGGGGCAGAACTTCATGGAAAGGGTAGAGACAGTATGCCTGGGGCAGGAGGAGGAAGGAGCAAGAGGCAAAGAGACAATGTCTCACATTCCTCAGTAGGAAGTCAATTAAAACTGAATAATCAGCAAGGAGCAAGAAGCCCCAAGTTAAAAGCTTGGTGGCAGCAGCAATTAGAGGAGGAGAGCAGCAGGGTGTCTGCAAGCCTGCTGAACTCTAACCCTCTAAAAACCATACCCTTACAAACCTTTGATCAATTAAAAAAAAGATGTTTTAAAAGTAGTGTTACATGCAATCAATAAAATTCATCAAAACAAGTCTTTGTTCATCCTCTACAGCCACCAACAATCCCCTTACCAAATTTCACAGAGTCAGGCAAACAACAAAGCAAACTATGCTGACTTCTTCAACGTGTACAAAAGGCTTGGCCATTTCCCCATTTGTGCAATAATTCTATCACTTCAAGACAGCAGAAATCATACAAATGATGATTTACAACCTTCCTTCTTCTAAAATTCAATCCCTCCAGGAACATTTTACAAAAGCTCACAGCCCTCCACTTCTATGTCAGAGCTGAGGTTTGTTCTGAAGTTCTATGTCATAAGCACAGTTCATTAAAGATGCTTTCACATCAACTTTATGCTACTTTAGAAAGTTTAGAGCAAAACAAGTGTTTTGGGGATGGGTGTGCCTTGCTACCTTAGACCAGGCTGACCTCAAACTTGCAATCTTCCTGCCTCATTCTCCCAGGTGTTGTGACCAACACCTGGCTTATAGCAAATTAAAACAAAGCAACCCATCCCATCATCTGCCTTGGACTCAGCAACAACTTAAGATTCCTGTGGTGCCAACCAGTCCTAAAAGGAATGTTTGGCAAGCTAGACTCACCCTGTTAAACACTGGCAGCATCATGTACAGCTTCTCCTCCTGTTCCTTCTGGGTCATGTGCCGGGGAGGATGGCACAACTCAGTGAAGAGCCTGCGGAGGTGCATCAGGCCCAAGGCGTTGTCCTGTGGGCTGCATTCCTCCTGCCGTGGCCGTCCCATGATCCTCTTCACCATGTTCATCTTGACTGGTGGGTGATAAACACTGCTGACTCTGTAGGAAGATACCAAGACACCAACAGTCAAAATGTTACCACCTTTCCTAGATCAAGCAAGCATGTAAGAACTTATAAAGAGTCCTAAGATTAGTAAACTCTGCTCAAACATTTCTGTATACTTCTTTAAATGGAAAAGATAGAGAAGCAAAGTTACTGCTGATAAATCTCCCATGCAACTTTCTGTTAGAGCAGCAAAAAACCCCATAACTGTTTTAAAAAACAAAACAAAAAAAACAAAAAAACCCTCTATCTATTGAAAGACTCAGTTTTTCAGTTTTACTGGTCATTCACCTGTTCATAGATCTACCATAGAAAGGCAGGTTCACCTAAGTTATGCTAAATAGATGGGCAAAAGTCCTAGTGGGTCAATGAGATAGTGAACTTTCCTGCCTGGAATTCCACCTCCTACTATGTAATTTGCATGGCTTCATGGCTTTTTTCCTTCTTCCCCCTACTCTCCCCCTCAAGGCAGCTGGCTGAGATTTACAGCTCGCCTACCTTGAGGATTTTTCTTTATATTCTAATAAAATTGTCTTAAAGCTTCTGTTAGAGTTCATTCTTAAATTCTTTTATGACACTAGGAGTGGTGGCCCACACCTTTAGTCCCACCACTGGGGAGGCAGAGTCAGGACGATCTCTGAATTCAAGACCAGCCTGGTCTACATGAGGGGCTACAGGGAGACCCTGTCTCAAAAAGACCACACACACAAAAAAAATTCTTTTATGGGTGAGACTATGAACCCTCTAGGGGATGCTGTTTCTCCTCTGTATCACTATTAATATGTTGCTTAAGAGTTACATATATCTAAAAGGAATAAAAAGCTAGAAAATTATCACAAATCTTGTAACATCTAGAACAAATCACCCCCTTGTAAGGAACATTATATGGAAAATGGAATACAAACTGTTATACTAAAAACTAGTCCAAAAAACATGTATATTTAGCTTAGTCATATATGCCTAGTACACACCTGAGGGCACACACCCAAGTAACCAGATGGCGAGAGCGGAGGAGACCACAGAGATAGCTATATGCCGAATGACATCAAAGAGGACTATAAGAAGGCCCACTTAGAGCAGGACCCCAGAGCTGGACCTGCACAGACGAAGTACTCCGCAGCCCAGGAACCAGAAGCCGTTACAGGTGACCATGCCCTTGGGGAAGGCTACTTTAGGGACTTAGGATTTGTGTGAATGTGTGACTTGCCTCTAATAAATGACATTATAATTGAGTGCAGTCTCAGCCTCCACTATTTGGTCCTCATGACATCCCCCAATATCAAACCCCACAATTTTTCTATATTTTTAATTTTTCAACACAATGGACTTTGAGCATCTGCTAAGCAATTTGTTAGTATGAAAATAAGTAAATGAAATGATATCCCACTGTAAGTTATAAATCATAAAATGACTGAAGATGATTCTATAACTAAAGATCACGGGGGGGGGGGGGTTTTTTGTTTTTTCTTTAAAACTGGGTTTCTCTATGTAGCACTGGTTGACCTGGAACTTGCTATGTAGACCAGGATGGCCTTGAACTTGAGAGAAGCACCTGCTTCTGCCTCCAGAGTGATGGGATTAAAGGTATGTGCCACCACACCCAAACACAGATCTCTTTTTAAAAATTTATTTTATGTGTATGTGTACTTTGTCTGCATGTATTTGGTACACCAGATGTATGTAACGCACTTGGAGGCCAGAAGAGAGCCTCCAATCCTCTGGAACTGACTGACGTTAGTGGTTGTTAGCTACCATGCAGGTGCTAGTTATCAAACCCAGGTCCTCTGCAAGTGTAGCCAGTGCTCTTAACCATTGAGTCATCCCTCCAGACCCTAGGATCATGTTCTTAAACTGTAGTTGGAAATCATTATTAAGTCTTATTAATTAATTGTAGTGATAAACATTTTTTAAAGAAATAGGAGAGAATGGATTGCATATGCCAAGGATAAGGATAAGGGTAAGGATATATCAGTGTGTACTGAGTCGAAATATAAAATATATCCTTTGCTGGACCTGAAACTGAACAATAAACTAATCACTGGGTTAAAGTATATGTGAATCAATCACACACAGCTTTCAGAAAGTATCAATAGCCCTTTTCAACCATCACTAACTGTGCCAACAATGAGCTAATTTCAGACACAAAAACAGGAAATCTTACCAAAGGAACCAGGAAGGCTGGGAAAACCTTGTGGACAAGCACAATTTAGATGAAAAGCAGTTTGATTTTTAGTCTGAAAAAGTGGCCATACCCTGAGTATAATTTTTAATTTTTCTACCTAATCACATCTATGCCATGTCTTAAGAAATGAGGACAACTGCAAAGCTGGAATTCTAAGTACTAAAGGTCAGCTTACTGATTTTTTTAAAAAACTTAAAACAAAAATCTGAAGCATAATTTCCCTTGAGAAGTCTGAGTGAACTGCAAAATTGACCTAGGCCTTCTGGCTCCCCAGAGGAGGGAAGGCATGAGAGGAAACTTCCAGATGAGGGGCAGCCACATTTTCCAGAACTCTGTCACCAGCCAACCCTTAAGTGCTTTCTCAGAGTTGAAGACCCATCTGAGAGACCTGCAAGTGTCCCTAAAGAATAGACTTTTAAAAACTCTTGTTCACAAAGAGTAAACAAGAGAATCTTATAAGAGTAAAAACAGATGCTCCCAGAGGCTGTAAGCTTATTGAAAATCCCAGTGCTAGGGGTGGGTTACCTCCCTAGGTGTTGTTGGCCAGGGAGTCCCTAGAAGCCTCTAAAACTAAACAAAACGAAAGGCTATTGCCCCATTGCTGTTGGTTGCATTCCAGAAGTGGATGGCTAGACCCTATTGCTGAAGACGTTGCATGCTTTGGTTACGGGACCTGGAGAAGTAAGGCTAGGATTGAGCTGGGAGTGTCCCCTCCTTGTAGTCTGGCTCTCATAATGCCAGAAGGTGCTACTAAGTTTGCTGGGGAAAATTGTGGTCCAAAGTCTTACTTAGCTGTGGTTCCCACGTGCTTCATGATGGAAGTGCCACGTAAGATTGTGAGTTAGTGCAATAGTGGTACAAATAGTTATGGATAGAATCAGCTTTCTGACTGGACTTAAGGCCAGCTCCACAGGGAATTATTCATACCTGGTCCTGGGAACTTGGACAAAAACCTGTGGCCAGAGAAGTCATAGGCTCAGTAGAAAAACAACTGCTGTTGCTTTGGTAAACGAATACGCTGTTCTGACGAAGGTACTCCCCAGCATCTGTATTTCTGACCATGGGCTATTACTGATGCCAGTGCTCATTTGGACATTTTCCTGTTTCTTGTTTTCTTCCCTTATCTCACTTGCATTTTAGAGGAAAATTAATGCCACTGAGACTCACCACTAGCCAAACTCTGGAAATAGAGAAATAAGAAACAAAGGTTTGGTACTCAGCTGGCATGAGAGGTTCATACTCAGACATACGTCACTATCGCCAAGGCTCTAGGACTGTTGCAGAAAAGGAGTCAGAAAGAATGTAAGAGTCGGAGGAAGGAGTGGGATATTGTGTAGCAATTTCCTCCAAGATAAAACCTTTCATCTTGGAGGGAAATTCATTAAGACACAGGATGTTTTAAGGTAACCTAAAACATTCCATCCTGCAGGGAGCTCCTTAAACTCTGGAAGTAAACCACTCAAAGGCTTCAGGAAGTCCCTGAAACTGACCAGATATACACTAGGTCCCACCCTTCCTAAGCATGTAACAGTCATTCAAACAGGCATGGTGGAACCTCACTGTGGTTTGGATTTGTATCTCCTTAATGTCTGGTGATACCAAGCATATTTTCATACAACCCTTACTCACTGGGTGTCTTCTTTTGAGAAACGATTTGGATTATTACTATTTTTTTTTTTTTTTTTTTTTTTTTTTTTGTCTTTTTGAGACAAGGTCTCTCTGTAGCCTGAGCTGCCCTGGAACTCACTATGTAGACTAGGCTGGCCTTGAATTCACAGAAATCCACCTGCCTCTGCCTCCCAAGTGCTGGGACTACAGGCGTGCACCACCACACCCGGTTGGATTATTACTATTAAGTTGTGAATCTCTTGTATATTTGAGATCCTTAACAGATATAAAGCCCCTTAACAGATATATAACCAACAAGCATTTTCTCCTGCTCTATAGGTTGCCTCTTCATGTCTATGATTGCTTATTCTGATGTGCAAAAAGGTTCAGGTCTAATGTAATTCAATGACTATTTTTTGCATTTGTTGCCTATACTATTAAAAAATTTACTCATTTTTATTTTATGTGTATGAGTTTTTTGACTACATGTATGTAAGTGCACCTGTGTCACGCAGTGCCCACAGTGGCCAGAAGAGGGCATCAGATATCATGGAACTGGAGTTATGGATGGTTGTTAGCCACCATGTGGGTGCTGGGAATAGAACCCAGGTCCTCCGCAAGAGCAGCCAGTGCTCTTAACCACTGAGTCATTTCTCTAGGCTCTGTTGCCTGTACTTTTAACGTCATAATCAAAGCTATCATTTCCTAAACCAATAGCAAGATGCTTTCACTCTAATCTTTTTTTCTAGGTTTTTGGTTTGTAGTTTTATACTAAAATCTTTGAATTGCTTTGACTGACTTTTGCACATGCTGTAAAATAAGAGTCTGATTTCAGTTTTCTGCACATGGACACACAGTTTTCCTATCATCAATTATTATAGGGATTGTCTCTGCCTGTAATTCGTTCTTGGTCCATTTGTTGAAGATCAGCTGACTATAAAGGCATGGATTTATTTCTAGGTTATTCTGTTCCATTAATCTAAATGTTAAAGTTACCATAGATTTGTAATGTATTTTGAAGCCAAGAAAAATGAAGCCTCCAGTTTTGTTCTTCAAGATTGCTGTACATTGTCGATATTGGTGGTACCATAGGAAATTTTAAGATTTTGTTTGTTTATTTGCCATTCTTCAGACTGGCCTCTAACTTCTGGTCTAAACTAATCTTCCTGCTTCAGCCATTTGCACAGACTGGTTATCAGTGTGTAG